GAGAGAGAGAGAGAGAGAGAGAGAGAGAGAGAGAGAGAGAGAGAGAGCGCGCGCACGAGTGTGAGAGAGCAAGCAAGCCCACACTGTCCTCAAACAAGGTGATCTTATAACTTTAGTCTCCCAAGTGTGGTGTTACTGGTGTGTACCACCACACTGACTCTAAGCTTTATTGGCCTTTTGTTAATTTACTCAGCAGAACCTTTATTGAAGTTTTGTTCCATCAGTGCTGACATACTGTTTACTGTGTTTGGCCCTCTGGGGACTCTTGTTATGTGTGTCTTAATTGCTTTCTTTGTATTAATGCCACATTTTCTTATGAAGCTATCTACTAAGTCTTGTTACCTGCCAGGACAACGACTCATAAAACGAGAAATATTTTAGCTGTTCTTGATGTTTTGTTTTTCTTTCCTTTTTTTTTTTTTAAGATTTATTTATTTATTTAATGTGAGTACACTGTCGCTGTCTTCAGACACACCAGAAGAGGGCATCAGATCTGATTACAGATGGTTGTGAGCCACCATATGGTTACTGGGAATTGAACTAACTCACCTCTGGAAGAGCAGTCAGTGCTCTTAACCATTGAGCCATTTCTCCTCTCCAGCCCCGATGTTTTGTTTTTCAAATTTTAGAATTAGATTGTCAGGGTCCCAGCATAGTTATTCTCAATCACAGTCTCCAGCCCTCCCCGCCTCCGTCTCCCTCACAGGGGTTTGGGGGGTGAGAAAGGAATTGGATAGGGAGATTTGATTAGAGTTGCATTCAATTTAAATCTAATTGGGGAAAGAATACCTCTTATTATTGAGGTCATTCATGAATGTGGTATGTAATTTTAGGCTTTTAAAATGCTTTTCAATTTTTTTTTAAGATTTATTTAATATGTATGTATGTATGTATGATTCTCCCTGCAGGTATGCCTGCACACCAGAAGAGGGCACCAAATCTCATTATATAGTTGGTTATAAGCCACCATGTGGTTGCTGGGAATTGAATTCAGGACCTCTGGGGGAGTAGCCAGTGCTCTTAACCTTTGACCAATCTCTCCAGTCCCCTCAGTAGCTTTCTTTAAATAAATAAATTAAAAAAAAAAAACCTTTTTAATGATTCATTTATATTTGCATTGGTGTTTTGCTTGCATGTATGTGTAAGGGTGTTACATCCCCTGGAACTGGAGTTACGGACAGTTGTGAGCTACCACACTTTCTCTTTTTCAGGGTTCCTTGGTTATTTATGTCTTAATACATAAATTAATCTTAAGATTTATTTTTGTGCAGTAAGGTCTTCCTTTTTGACCCATTGTGGATCTAAACTCGGGAAAACCTCCTGGGTGTTAGGATTACCAAAGTGCACCCTGTGCCTTGCTTCTGTGTAGTGTTTTGACCCCAAGTTCTTTGGAATTTTTCCTGTGGACAATTTTCAAGGTCTGAGTAGGTTGTGTGTTTTTCCCAGAAGGAATGTATTTGCTTCCATCAAAGCTCTGAGTTGATGCTGACACTTAATTTTCAGGATAGCTTTTGTTGACATTGGCAATATGGGATTCAAATGAGCAACGGCTTTATGGTTTTGGCTTTTTTTTTTCTTTTTAAAACTTTTTTTATATTTATTTTATTTTGTATGTGTGTACTTGGAGGTTAGACTTGTGTAAGCCTTTTTCCATGTGTCTTGGAGATCAGACTCATGTCTGGCTAGGTGTCAAGAACCTTTGCCTGCTGAGACATCACCAGCCCAGTGGTGGATTTTCAGAAGAGCTTTCACTTCTCCACCTCTACTCAACTGCCCCTTGTATGAAGGAGGGTTAGGTTTTGCTTACTATGGTCTTTCGAGTTGTAGACATTGCAATTGTGAAATTCATTTGAAGTCATATTTTGTTAACCCATCTCTGAATGTATTCTTTGTTGGTGGTGTTCTGCATTATTATCCTCAGAAACAAAATACCAGGATATCAGGTTTGACCTTTGCTACAAAGATGAATGTAGATTGAGTACTTGGCCAACCTGAATTGCAGCCTTCATTTACTCTTGGGTGTTTGTTTGTTTGTTTTTTCTGAGACAGGGTTTCTCCGTGTAGCCCTGGCTATTCTGGAACTCACTCTGTAGATCAGGCTGGCCTCACTCAGAAATCCACCTGCCTCTGCCTCCCAAGTGCTGGGATTAAAGGCGCGCCCACCACTGCCCGGCCTATAAAACTATTTCTTAAGCATACTAATTTCAATACATATGTATACTGTGTAGTGAGCAAATCTGAGTATTTGTCCTTTTTCATTTATTTCCTAATAAAGACAGATGGATATATATCATGTTCTTTGACTCCCTTCTCCATTCCCCTCTTGAATACAGACATGTAGATCAACATGTAACAGGTACACTTGGCTAGCCATGTCTATTGTAGCACTGTTGACAATAGACAAGTTAGGGACTTGTCTGCCAGCAGGTGAATGGAATGTTCAATTGATGTGAAAAGACACCATGACCAAGGCAACTCTTAGAAGAGAAAGCATTCAATTGGGGGCTTGTAGTTTTAGATACAGGGTTAGTTCATTATTGTCATGGCAGGGACAGGCTGCTGGAGCAGTAGCTGAGAGCCACAGGCAGCAGGCAGAGAAAGGCACTGAACCTGTCATGGGCCACCCTCAAAGGCCACCCTCAGCAACATACCTCCAACAAGGATGCATCAACTCCAACATGGACATACCTCCTAATCCTTTCCAGTTTGTAAACTTAGTTTAGGCATTTTAAATTAATTTGCTCATTGCAAATTAATGAGCCTATGGGAGCCATGCTCATTCAAACCATCATGTAGATAAAAGAGAAATAGCGTGTTTATACAAGGTGGATTTTTACGAAACTAAAAAGAAACGTGAAATTGTATTGTTTGCTGGAAAATAGGTCAACTTGAAAATCCTAGTAGGTGAAATATGCCAAACTCAGAGACAAATACCATTTTCTTTGATTTGTGTGTCCAGTGCTGTACATAGACACATAGCCATTTTTATATATGTGACATGAAATTTCCTTGGAAACCTTTTTATGTTTGTGGAAGTCTTGTATGGTCTTAGAAACTATGCTATAGGGTTGGTTTCTGTTTCATGTAGGGTTTTTTTGTTGTTTTTTTTGTTTTTTGTTTGTGGTATGCCAGAACTGACTTTGTTGTTGTTTTTGTATCATATGGGTCTTACTCAGTAAACCAGGCTGGCCTTGGATGTTGAGCAGTCCTTTTGCCTGTACCTCTACCTCCTAAATACTGGTATAAAGGTGTGTCCTGCCCTAATAGGTCTGTTTGGTGTTTTTGTATTGTTTTACAGATTTAGTAATTTGTCAGTTCTTTGAATTTTCTAGTTAGATATAAAGATAACTAACTTTTCTTTTTGTTCTTAGATGTAGCAAATAATTTCCGTCGGGGCCGCCCCCCCCCCCCCCGCTCTACCACTACCACCAGTACAGGTTCTTACTATATGATATATAGCTCTATTAGTCCTGGAACTCATCATGTAGACTAGGTTGGCCTTGAACTCGAAGATTTTCTAGCTTCTGCCTTCTGAGTACTGGGATTAAAGGTGTGCTTTAATGTTTGGCAGAGATTATTTTCTTAATCAGTCAGCGCCTGCAGGTATTCACACAGTAGAGGTGTTAAAGTGGATGTGGTTAAAGTTACCACCAAACATTTGACTTTAGGTAGACTATTTAGCATATGTTCTTGCTAATCTTTCTGCTGTCAGCATTGTTGTTGGTATTTGTGCTTATAACTAAGATTTTTGTGGGAATAAAGGAGTAAGACCTCAATCTTCTATGATTGAAGGGCACTAGTTCACTTTTTATGAAGAGACTGGATTTAATTTTTATGGGTAGTTCCATGAACAGGGAAAGATGGTTGGAAGGAAGCAGAATCATTCTCTGTAGGTTTTACTACTAGAAAGGTAAGTGCATGGGTGTATGGATAGTGACTGTCACCTGTAAGATGGTCTGAATTACTTTGTTCTCATGCTTGCTTCACTACTTCTGAGCTGACTTTTAATTTCCTGTTAGATAACTGAGGAGATGATGGATGAAGCAAATGAAAAGAAGGGGGCTGCCATTGAAGCTCTAAATGATGGTGAGTGGCATTCTTTGTACTGTATTTCTGTAATAGTAGATTCTGTCCCTGCTGCAGTGACTGTTAGTAGTGTAACGTGAAGGGATTGCGTTTGTTATTTTACCACACTGAAGATGTTAGGATCCTACAGTACAGTCATCACCTTCTTCATGGCAAAGAGGCATCAGTGATATTGCCTTAGCATGGACAAGTCTGACTTGGCCTCTTCCTGCATATCTCATAGCATTTCTCTGCTTGGAAGCAACCCTTAAAAAGATGAAAGTTTTTTTGTTTGTTTGTTTGTTTTTTGTTTTTAAAAGAAATACCTGGTAATCCCTAACTTTTGACATAGTGATACCATTGATAAGTGATGTTTGTAAGTCAAACACTTGTTAAAATGGGAATAGAGTCCCTGCATCTTAGGTCTTCAAAACTTGTTGGCAAAAAGATGGCTTAGCATGTAAAAGGACTCATACCAAACCTAGTTGGCCTGAGTTTGTTCCCCCATGATGGAAGAAGAAAGCCTGTTTTTACAGGTTGTCCTCTAACTCCCATGTGTTCCTCAGCATGCTCCCTCCCACCCTTGCCAAAAATCTATTTTTTTTTTTAAATTTTTTTTTTTGTTGTTTTTTTGAGACAGGGTTTCTCTGTATAGCCCTGGCTGTCCTGGAACTCACTCTCTAGACCAGGCTGACCTCAACTCAGAAATCCGCCTGCCTCTGCCTCCCAAGTGCTGGGATTAAAGGCGTGCTCCACCACTGCCCAGCACCAAAAATCTAATTAAATTAAATGTTTGATTGTTGTGTGTGTCTCATGTGTGTCTATGTGTGTGCCTGGTGCTTGTAGAAGCCAGGAGAGTGTGTCTAATTGCCTGGAACTGGAGTTACAGTGATATGAACTGCCCTGTGGGTGCTGAGAATGAAACTTGTTTTTTTTGTTGTTGTTCTGTTTGTTTGTTGTTTGTTTTTAGAAAAACAACCTAGTGCCTGCAGCCACTTAGCCAACTATCAAGCCCTTAAGAATGTAATTTAAACAAAAAAATGTTTAATTACAGTTAGAACAAGTGATGATAGACTTAGGACTGTTGTGACTATTATAACATTTGATGGAGACGGCTTCATAACTTGGATGGCTGTCACTCATAGCTAGTATGTCACATGCTGATGCACATTTGCACTTGATTTAGAAGATGACTGAAGTTTTATTTGAGGATGTGTTTAGCAGTGTTGTTCCATATTGGCTACTTGACTTTTTGGTGGTGTGGGTTTAGTGGGGGTGGAAAGTGGTTGTCCCTGTATGTAATAAAGCTGGCTTAGAACTTCCACTCTGTAACCAAGGCTGGCCTTGAACTCAAGATCTTCCCCTGCAAGCTCAGGAGTACTGAGGGTTTTAGGCTTCGGCATCTCCCCTAGCTAGGTCCTTTATGCCTTTGTATTCTACAGTTGCCTTCATGCTTTAAAGGTTTGATTGCTTTTTGTTCTTTATTAGAATGTCCTTTTTATTTTATTTTTTTTAAAGATTTATTTATTTTACGGATATGAGTACACCGTCTCTGTCTTCAGAAACACCAGAAGAGAACATCAGATCCCATTACAGGTGGTTGTGAGCCACCATGTGGTTGCTGGGAATTGAACTCAGGACCTCAAGAAAAGCAGTCAGTATTCTTAACCTCTGAGCCATCTCTCCAGCCCCCTTTATTTTTTTTGAGACAGGATCTTACTATGTGGCTCTAGTTGTCTTAGAACTCACTATGTAGACCATGCTGGCCTAGAACTAACAGAGATCCACCTTCCTCTGTCTCCTAAGTGCTGGGATTAAAGTCATGTACTACCTTCATGCCCAAGAACTCTGATTACTACTGTTTTCTTTAAGGGCTAGTACTTTACATAACATTTGAAGATTTATCATGATGTTCCTACCTATTGTGGTCAGACTCTATGAATATCTGTATTTTAGATTTTGTTTGTTTTTGTCTTTTAGAGACAGTGTCCTTTTGATATAATTTAGGCAAGCCTCCAGTTGTGATCCTATTGCCTCTCAGTCTCTTCATTACTGGGATGTAATATTGTATATGGTATTTCCCGCCACTTACAGCTTTGTTACTATCTTGTTCTCTCCATATGCATGTTCACCCACACACTTGTAGTGGGATAGAGTTCATAGTCTTAGTTAGGATGGTTAACTGTAATTGAGCCCACACCTTTTTACATGAATGCCTAGGCAAGCTTTGTGTAGTTGGTTCTCTCTTTCTGATGTTAAGCCAACTGCTTTTATCATCTTGCCAGGTTACCCTGGAAACATTTTTTTTTTTAAATTCTAGTCATTTTCACTGCCTTAGACTGTTTTTTACTTGTGCCTCACTACTTCCCATAAAGTTGTTCAGCAATTGATCTTGAATTCAAACTCATTTTCATAGCCACTGTCTTAGTCCTTTTTCATACTAATTTTAATTGTCCTGCTACTTAAGTGGCTATTTGCCTGTTTGAAATTATACATGCTTACAGTCTTGTAATATGTGTGTGAATATACATATATGTGTGTGTGTATGTATATATGTAAAATATGTATGTGTGTATATATATGTGCGTGCATGCACACACACACACACACACACACACACACACACACACACACAGAGTTTCATTAAAACCTTAACTAGCAGCCAGTGAGTGAGATGGCTCAGTGGGTATGGGCCATAGTGTTGTCACTAGTCCTGTTGAACCCACAAAGTAGAAAAAGAGCCCCACCCTCTCAAGTTGTTCCTTGACCTCTGTTATTGTGCCCCACCCCCTCACAAATAAAATGAAAAACCTCTTATACTAGTTGTGTAGTTTGTTCAGGGAGATGGGGATGGAAAATAGATTTGTATATGGAGTGAGAATTAACTATTTATCTGGGTGCTGGAGTAGTAGAACATTTGTATGGAATTGTGCAAAGCCCTAAGTTTGAATCTGGGTACTGAGGGCAAAATTTTAGTATTGAACATGGTATATCTTTGTTACCAGAAAGAATTACTTGTGTAGCATATTTATGTAGTAGCATTAATAAGGCTTTTTTTGGGGTTGTTTTTGATATTTTTGAGACAGTTTCACTATGTAGTCCTGTCTATCCTAGAACTCATTACGTAGACCAGGCTGGCTTTGAACTTGCAGAATTGTACCTTCTCAAATGCTGAGGTTATTAACAAGACTTTTCTTTTTTGGTCATTGTTTTTGTAAATTCTCTTGAAATCTTACATTCATTGGTAAATTGGGTAAATACTTTCCTCAACAAAATTTGACATTTATTTTAAAAATCTGTAGTTGTCTTGCCCTTGAAAAATAAACTGGGATATGCAATGAACTTTTTTGTTTTGTTTTTGTTTTAAAACTTTTGGGCCAACTAGATGACTTAGCAGGTAAAGGTGCTTGCCGCCAAGCCTGACAGTCAACCCCGGGACTCAGGATGGAAGGAGAGGAACTTCTGAAGGTTGTTCTGATTTGCATATATGCATACACAAATAAGAATAAATGAATCTGATTCCTTATATAAAAAGCTAAGGATGTGGGGCTGGAGAGACGACTCAGTGATTAAGATTGCTGCTGCCCAACTCTGTTACAAGGGCTGGAATTAGGATCCATGTTGGGTGGCTTGCAGAAGCTTGTAAGTCCAGCTCTAAAGGATCAAATGCCATCTTCTGGCCTTTGTGGGGACACTCCAACATGTTCACATACATTTATACAAACACACAGACAAATAAATAATGATAACCGTGAATAAAGGTTAATTTCTTAATGGCTTAAATGTCTATTATATGTTCATTTAAACAGTATTTCTCAAAAAGAGAAAACTAGTTTTCATATCCTGTGAAATGAGTTTAGACACTTTATCCTCTTGAAGTGTAGTTATTAAGTAAAACTGAGTCCCATATAAACAGTCTGCATTGATTTGTTTGTTTATAAATTTTTCAAGGCAGGTTTTCTCTATGTAGGTCTGATTGTCCTGGAACTTGCTCTGTAGACTAGACCAGGCTGGCCTTAAACTTAAGAGATCACCTGCCCCTGCCTAGCAAGTGCTAGGATTAACACCATGTGCCACTACTTCCTGGCCATGTTTTAAAATATTTACTTTTTAAGTGTGTGTATGATCCTTGGAGGTCAGAACAGAACATCAGATCCCCTGAAACTGAAGTTATAAATGGTTGTAAGTTACATTGTGGGTACTGGAAACCAAACCTGGGTCTTCTGCAAAAGTACTAAGATTCCTAGCCATTGTCGCAGCTCTTGTTTCTTTACTTTTTGCTTGGTGGTAGGGTGCGAATGCATAGTGCATGTATAGAAGTCAGTGGACAGCTTTCAGAAGTTCATTCTCTTACCATGTGGGTTGTTTGCTTGTTTGTTTGTTTTTTTTGAGACAGTTTTCCTATATGGTCCAGATTTCCTGGGACTAATTGTATATATAGCCTAGGCTTGCCTCTAATTTTTTTCTTTTAAATATGTTTTAGAATTTTTTTTTATGTGTATGGGTGTTTTGCCAACATGTGTGTTCACTGTTTGCCTAGTGCCATGGAGGTGAGAAGAAGGCATCAGATCTCCTGGAACTTGGGTTATAGATGGTTGGTTGTGAGCTAATATATGGGTGCTGGAAATTGGACCTGGCACTTCTGGAATAGCAGTTAGTGCTCTTAACCATTGAGGTATCTCTCTAGCCCTTTATTTTAAAAATGTTAAAGTGCTGGCCACTAAATGTTCTTGGTGGAAAGTACTGTACTGAGCCATGAGCCCTGTCTCCTGTCTCTATACTGTGCTGAGCCCTGTCTCCTATCTCTGTACTGTATTGAGCCCTGTCTCCTGTCTCTATACTGTGCTGAGCCCTGTCTCCTATCTCTATACTGTACTGAGCCCTGTCTCCTCTCTATACTCTACTGAGCCCTGTCTCCTGTCTCTATACTGTACTGAGCCCTGTCTCCTGTCTCTATACTGTACTGAGCCATGTTTCCTATCTCTATACTGGTCTGTTCTCTCTTTTTTTTTTTTAAAAGGTAGACGGAGAAATGATGTATAATTCTTAATTAGAAGTCAGAATATTTTATTAACATCTTTATCTTCTGGACATTTTCTTAGTAAGTTTACTTCCACTTCAGGTGAGCTCCAGAAAGCCATTGACTTGTTCACAGACGCCATCAAGCTGAATCCTCGCTTGGCTATTCTGTATGCCAAGAGAGCCAGGTAAGGACACTGAAGTACAGAGCACCTTTTGAAGACTCCTACACTCATTGGTTCAAGTAATTTTGATTTTGTAGAAATCTCAAAGGTTTTATTGTTTGAATGAAGTTTTTCTTAATAATACCTTTGTTTTTTAGTGTCTTTGTCAAATTACAGAAGCCAAATGCTGCCATCCGAGACTGTGACAGAGCTATTGAAATAAACCCTGATTCAGCTCAGCCATACAAATGGCGAGGGAAAGCACACAGGTAAATGAGCAAATACTGCTTACAGAGCTGAGTTTCACCAATAGAACCCATGAGCTAAAAAGTTAGATGTGGCCAGGTAGTGGTGACACACACCTTTAATCCCAGCAGCATTGGACAGGCAGAGGCAGGTGGGTTTCTGTGAGTTTGAGACCAGCCTGGAGTCTAGAGGGCCCAGGAAAACCAGAGCTATAGAAGAAAACGCTGCCTCAGTGTATTGTCCCATCCCCCAAATGCTGTGTGTGGTGCTGTGGAGGCTGGAAACAGGTCAGAGAGTCCCTAGGATTCCCTGCTGGCAGCCTAGCATACATACTGAATTATAGAGTAGCATCCAGAAACAGAAGTTGACTGAACCTGAGAAATGGTTCTTGAGACTGTTTTTATGCGCGCGCGCGCAAGCACACACACACGCACACGCGCACACACAAACTAGTCAAGTTTAAGCAATTTTCAAGATTTCATTTAATCTATTTTAATATGCTTTGTTCAAATTTTGCCTAAGTGCTTTTATTTCAAATTAATGTGTTCAGTATGAAGAATTAAGAAAAGTAATGAGAAAATATTTCACTCTTTCCATTGTAAAATCACTCAACATTATCGAGTCACATAGGCACATAAAAGACAACCTGGTTTCCTTTTACCAGCAAGAACACAAGAAGAGCTATTGACTACCCTAGCCTGAAACGTCTTTATTCGTTACTGGGACGCTTAAAAATATCTGAATAAAGAATCAATTTCACCCAGTCTAATAATAATTTATAGTGTTGGAACTTATTGTTTCATATTTGTCTTAAGTGGATTGAGAAGTTTATGTAGGTGAAGTTTGAGTAGAAATAAGAATGGATGTTCTTGATAAAACTGTATTAGGTGACTCACAGTAGTCATTTTTGATGAAGGCTTGTCAAAGAGAAAGGTAAAATGTTTTGCTGCTGTGTGGTGTAAGGAAAGCTCACACATTGCTGTTGCTTTGAAATCAGTCACCAGTCCTCAAAATGGCATTTTGCTTTCTGTACAGATTTCAAATAAGCTATTTTTCTAAGAAACCATAGTTCACTTTGCGGACACTAAAATTTGTGTGGTTGGGTATACTTAACTGCTTCTGTTACTGTCCTTACTGTCACATCAGTGAACACAACCCAGAAACAATACCTTTATAAATTCATGAGTTGAATGAACAATTTATAAGTTGAGTTTATGTTGAGATTTTCCAATTAAAAAAAATGTTTGCTTTATCAATCTATATCCCTATTTAATTTTGTAAACATATAAGTGATAGTGTTTCAGTTAGCACAGAATACTCTCCAGGTAAACGGTCAAGGTTTTCTTGGCTGTCAGGGTTGTCTTTAAGAACATATACCATTTAAAATATGTGGCTGAAGCAAAATATTAGAAATATACTTTGAATTTTTATATATGTGTGTATGTTGTGAATGTGCTATAGTCTCATTTTTGCTTATATTTAAGCTTAGGGTTTGTGTTACCAATTTTATGACACTCACTTTTGGTGGTTGCAGGATTCCATGCCATGGTGCACATGTTCTCCACCCCATTTTCTTTCTTTTGTTTTGGGTGGGGCTGGGGACCCTTTCCAAGTTAAGGGTTTCTCTGTAGCCCTGGCTGTCCTGGAACTCACTTTGTAGACCAGGCTGTTTTCCACCTCACCTTTGGCTTCCTCTTCCTACTAGGTGCTGGAACTAAACACTTATACTTCTCCCCCACCACTACCCCCTACCACTCCCTCCCACACACGCAGTCTGTTAGTTCTGAGTACTAGATTTTGTTATGTTTTTTTTTTTTTTTTTCTCGGTAAAGCAGGCCCATGTTGCATGGCTTTCCCTTCAGTCCTACATAGAATATCATGAAGTATGTTTCATGTTAGAAAATAACTGCTTTACCTTCTTGTAAATACATCAGTACTCTCAATTAAGAATAGTGCTAGGGGGCTGGTGAGATGGCTCGGGTTAAGAGCACTGACTGCTCTTCTGGAGGTCCTGAGTTCAAATCCCAGCAACCACATGGTGGCTCACAACCATCTGTGATGAAATCTGATGCCCTCTTATGGGGTGTCTGAAGACAGCTACAGTGTACTTACATATAATAAATAAATAAACTTAAAAAAAAAAAGAATAGTGTTAGAACAGGCTTAGAATTATCATTGTAGGAATTTCAATTTCTTCAAGATTTTAGAAAGTTAACCATCACTGTAGCATAGTTTTTTTAAGCTTTTTTGAGTTAGAGTTTCTTTGTGTAGCCCCAGCTGTCCTGGAATTTATTTTGTAGACTAGACTAGCCTCAAAGATCTGCCTTTCAAGTGCCAGGATCAAAGGTGTGTACCACCACTGCCTGACTGTCATACAGTTCTTGAATTGGTTGGTAAAAAATTATAGTTAATAATTAACTGAAAACTTTCCTGGTACTATACATTTTGTGAGAGTTTACATCTATTTCAGACTCCTAGGTCACTGGGAAGAAGCAGCCCATGATCTTGCCCTTGCCTGTAAACTGGATTATGACGAAGATGCCAGTGCAATGCTGAAAGAAGTTCAACCGCGGGTATGTCATTCATTGACAGACAGTGTGCTCTGCTTGGAAACCTCATACGCTTGTCATGTTTCCGGTTTGGATGCTGTGTTAGAGAGCAGACTGTATGACTTTTCTCCAAGGTGTCAGTGGGCTTATACAGAAAGTCAGAAAGGTGGCATGCACACGAGCCTTTAATCCCAGCACTTAGGAAGCAGAAGCACGTGGATCTCTTGAGTTCCGGCTATAAAGAGAGACTCTGTCTCCAAAAATGAAAGACAGAGGAAGGAAGAAGAGAAGGCTTATGTTTCGTATCTACTCTGACCTTATGTACTAGGTATGCTATATACAAAGGTGTGGCCTTTCTGACTTTAATTTCAATTTATTTTTATTTTTTGAGACAGTATTTCCCTGTGTAGTCCTGGCTGTCCTAGAACTCACTCTGTAGATCAGGCTGGCCTTGAACTCAGAAATCCTCCTGTCTCTTGCCTCCCCAGTGTTGAGATTAAAGGCGTGCGCCACCACTACCTGGTAAGATTTAAAAAAAAAAAAAAAGAAAATGTTTAATCTAAAAATATAGAACCTTTATATACAAGGTTTTCGTTTGTTTTGGTCCCAGGACAGGATCTCACTGTAGATCTGGCTGTCCTGGAATTTAGATTGTAGGCAGAGCTGGTCTCAAACTCACAGAGATCCACCTGCCTCTGCCTCTCTAGCTGGGATTAAAAGAATGTGTTACTACACCCAGCTACAAGGCTTTTTTTTTTTTTTTTTTACTTCAGAAATATGGACTGGGTTTATATATAGTTCAGTGGTGGAGTGCTTATGTAATATTTACAAAGTTCTCAGTTCAGTCCCCATTCAAATAGATGAGGGATGGAATAAAAAGATAGATAGCATATCAGTGACTTTATCTTTAAATGTTTTAACACAGAAGTTGTATTAAATGAAATTTACCAGACTTAATTTGATTAATGGAGCCTTTTTCTTTTATATATTATGATGTTTCTGTATATATGGTGTGGATAATGGTGTGTGTAAAGGTTGAAGGAGTCATTTTTATCTTGAATTAGGTTCTGGAGATTGAACTCAAGTCATCAATATTTTTTATCAATTGCTTTAACTTTGAGCCCTCTCACTGGCCCTTGATTTTTTTTTTTTTTTTTTTTTTCTTCGAGACAGGGTTTCTCTGTGTAGCCCTGGCTGTCCTGGAACTCACTCTGTAGACCAGGCTGGCGTCGAACTCAGAAATCCACCTGCCTCTGCCTCCCAAGTGCTGGGATGAAAGGCGTGCGCCACCACCGCCCGGCTGATTTTTTTTTTTTTTTTAAAGCCCCAGGAAACTTAGCAAACTAGTTGTTGAATATACTGTGGACTATAAAGTTCTTAGAAATATTCATACAGACACTAAAGTAACACTTTGATATCAGCTCTTCACCTCCAAAGCAATTTGAAAGGACAGTTTCTTCCTTCCCCCTTCCTCCTTAGGGCAGTTTTTTTTGGGGGCGTCAAACTCAGGGCCTTGTATGTGTTCATCATATACTTAACACAAAAGTAAATGTTTCTGGCCTTGTCCCCATTTTTTAAAAAAGTATTTATTTTATGTATATGGGTATTTTGGTTGCATGTGTGTCTGAGTACCATGTTCCTGTGATGCCCACAAGGGGTATTAAATCATCTGGAACTGGACTTAAAGGTGATTGTAAGCTGCTATATGGGTGCTAAAAATCAAACCCAGGTCTTCTGTAAGAGCTGTGAGTGCTTGTGACCAAGGAGCCATCTCTCCCCAGCACCACCTTGTCCCACATTTAATAGAGGAGGAACCTTAAGTCTAGGCAGAGTGTGGCACTTGATATGTGTATGGAATAGCTGCCTTCCTGTGGCAGATACTTTTGATGATAGTTTTTCTGCTGAACTAATCTGTGACATGTGAATCCTGAGTAATCTATAGTAGATAGAAGCCATGAAGCAAGAATTGTACTAAAACTTGCAATACAAATTTGTAATACAAATACATGTGTTTGTCCTTGGGTTTTGTCATCTGTTTGAGATTAAAAGATTTCGCTTTAAACTGCGTGTCCTAGACTCTTCTTGTTTCACAATGTCTAATGTATTTGACATTGCTCTTGAAGCCTGGCTTTATGTTAGCTTGTTTTTAATGAGTTCATTAGCTTATGTTTGTTTACATGTAACAATGGTTTTCATTTACATGCACATAATGTATTTTGTTAATTCTTACTTCCCATTACCTCCCCCCCCCCTTTTTTTGACCCATTGAGTTTTATTAGGGTTTTCTTAAAGGAGTGTGGATGAGGATACAGAGCCATGGATGGCTCCTTACCACTGGCTATACAACTAAAGAGAATGACTCTTACTCCACTGTAATGTTACTTTCTTTGAGACTGCCAGCTACAGAATAATGATGGAAGACTTACTATGAATGCCTAGGCCTTATAGCTAGGCTTGTTCTCAACTAGCTCATAGCTTATTAACCTATCTATTTTATTCTAAATTCTGCCACCTGGCTCATTTGTAACCAACCTCTCCTCTTTAGTACCTACCTGCTTCTTCCTTCATCAATCCTCCCACTCTTGTTTCCCAGAATTCCTGTCTTTTCCTGGAAGTCTCACCTTCTACTTCCTGCCTTTACTGTAAGCCATCGGCTTTTTATTTTACCAATCAGGAGGTGAGAGAGGAAGTGTTTATAAAACAGAGACAGATGATGCTTAGCAATACCAAAGTCTGACCTGTAACCAGATCTTTTTGATTCAGAAATCAGCATTTGTATAATACAGAGACAATCTTTACAGTGCATAAAACCACCACTGTACCATCAGCTGTCAGTTGACTATAACTCCTCAGGGTAGAGTAGGACCTCCGTAGTCTCTCTCTAGCTTCCATGAGTTAGGTTTTCATTTTTCTGTTAAGATGAATCTGTCATTTCTTAGAGCTATATATTAAACAAGTCAGTTAGTTAGTTTGTTTTTTTGTTTGTTTGTTTGAGGCAGGGTTTCTCTGTGTAGCCCTGGCTGTCCTGGAACTCATTTTGTAGACCGGGCTGTTCATGAACTCAAGATCTGCCTGTCTCTGCTTCTTGAGTGCTAGGATTAAAGGCATGCACCATCATGAAGGCTATGAAGTAACTCTTAACAAAACTTGACTTACTTTATCAAACATTGCAGGTAAACTTACTTCCTATGCTTTTATTTAGGCTCAAAAAATTGCTGAACATCGGAGAAAGTATGAGCGAAAACGTGAAGAGCGAGAGATAAAAGAACGAATAGAAAGGGTGAAGAAGGCTCGAGAAGAGCATGAAAGAGCCCAAAGGGTAAATTCCTGTAGCAAGCCCAGTAGATTAGACTTTAGGGCATTTTTCTTTGTTCGATGGCTGTGGGGGAGTCTTTACTTTTATTCTGTTCTTTTTGTTTTTCATCTTAAGTGAGCTTATATTTCACTAATTTAGATATTTGTTCTTTTAAAATTTGCAAATTTGGGCCAAGAGTATAACTTACAGAGCACTTTCCCAGCAGCACAAACCCCTCTCCCATCCAAACTCAAAATGTTCTGGCCAGGCTTATTAAAACTTGATAGCACTATTATTCTGTGTACTAGTCCTTCCCTGTAGGATTCTTCTTTCCAACAGTGAATTCATGACTATATAAAAAAGTTCTAGCTGTGCATTGTGGCTACTTTTATAATCCCTGCATTCAGGAGGCTGAAGCGGGAGGACTTTCACATTAAAGTAAAAAGTTAAAAACCAAACAAAACCAAAAACCTTAAAATTGACTACATAGTCTTATCTTAAGAGGATAATTCTACCTGTTTTTAATTATACCCTAATATTATAGAAATGTAGAGATTCTTGATAGTTTGTTCTAGTATTATTAATAGTCTTCTTGATTTTCCTGTTTTTGTTCCCATGTATCTATGTATATTGGTGTTGTATGACAAGACTGTTCCTGGGGAGACACTACACACATTTACGCACCCCAGATTGACGGTTCATCTTGGTGAACCATGAGTTTTATCAGTTATTTACAGGAATATGGGTGAGGGATTATTTACAGGAGCAGAAATGACTCAGACAGCTGCATCACCAAACCCCACCCAGCCTGAGTTACATACAGCTCACAAAGCTGGGAACCCGGAGCTCACTGCACTGCCTGCAGGCAGCTCAACCGGTTACAGAGTGACCTTTCCAGATGACCTCTTCCAGGCAGTTTAACTGTTTCTGCTTTATCTGGGCAGCTCTACTGATCTCAAGAGTCTTTGTAGCTTGACTCTTGGGGAGGGGACCAAGCTAATCTTGTCAGTTTCAGGGACTTCCTAAAGCTATTTTGAGTTGTTTACCTTCTTCTTGAAAGAGTTTTCCTGCAGGTTGGACTGTTTCAATTCTGAAGCAAACTGTTACACAATTGGTTTTATCTATTGTAACTTTTTTGTTTCCAACCTTTGTCGAAAGAAAGGACACTTATAGGTATATAATTATGTAGTAAGTCATAATTGGGGGTCATTTAATCAGCATCATAATATATACATATATATACTTGTATGTATATATGTATATATATATATATAGTCTTATTACTGTTTATAAAAATATGTGTATATGCTTTATTTGATTTCCTCTCTCTCATGTCCTGGAGATTGAACTGGGGCCTCACACATACTGTGTAAGTGCTGTATACTGGGGCATAGTCCATCTCCATGATTGTTTCTAACAGTGTGAAAGAAAGTTCTAGTTGGCCTTAACTCTAAAAACCAGCTCAGGAAGCCTTCTTCTGTGCTGTTGTACATTTTGCTGGGAAAATGTACAAGAGATGAACCTAAGAAATAATTTAAGTATGCCCTTTGAAGTTTTAAAACAAGTGAGAATTTATAGCTTTCATATGAATACTACAAATTGCATTTGTGCTCTATGTTTCCAGAGAAATAAAACTGCTAGAAATCATTAGTAAAAATAATGTCCTGTGACAGTTGGATTCTGATGAGAAGTGGATTCATCTTGAACCTTATCATTCTTACTGTCTTCTCTCTCTCTCTCTCTCTCTCTCTCTCTCTCTCTCTCTCTCTCTCTTTCTCTCTCTTTCTCTCTCTCTCTCTTTTTGATTTCCTTGGACAGGTTAGGTATGGGAAGAAAGCTTTCTTTTTGTTGCTGCTGTTGTTTTTCTTCTTCTGTTGTATAATTTGTTTTCATTTCGTTTTCAAGGAAGAAGAAGCCAGAAGACAATCTGGATCTCAGTTTGGCTCTTTTCCAGGTATTTATTTATTTATTTAGTCCTGTTACATGTGATAATATTTATATTCATGAAGATACTGCCTAAAAACACAGGGCTAGAGTGATGGCTCAGTGGTTAAGAGCGTGAGCTGCTCTTCCAGAAATCCAGGGTTCAGTTCCCAGCACCCACGTTGTAATTCCAGTTCCAGGGGAATCCATTGTCATCTTCTAGTCTCCACAGGCATCAGAAATGCATGTGACATATAGACGTACATGGAAGCAAAGTACTCCTACACATTAAAAGCAAAAAAAAAACCAGGAACCTAAAAATGTCGGGTTCTTACTGTGCATAAATGTATTTTGAGCCCATTATGAGAGGTGAACTGGAGTTAGGAGTTAGCAGGCGGTTCTGAGCCTTGCACGTTGGATACTGGGAACTGGAGCTTAACTGCTGAGCCATCTTTCTAGGTCCTCTTTTCACTCTTGAATTTTTTTTGTTTTGTTTTGTTTTTTTGTTTTTTTTCGAGACAGGGTTTCTCTGTGTAGCCCTGGCTGTCCTGGAACTCACTCTGTAGACCAGGCTGGCCTCGAACTCAGAAATCCACCTGCCTCTTGCAAATGTTTTATAATGAAAAATTATTAGCAAAACAAAGCTTTTGAGGGTTCACAAAGATCTGGTGTTCCGAAAGGTGAGGATGCAGAGACACAGAGGAAATAAGTTATGCTGCCTGTGAGAGGCACTGTGAAGCTTATCTAGAAATACACTTTTAAAAGATAGGCTTGGGGGGTTGTTTGTTAGTTTTGTTTTGATGTCTGTCTTGTACTCTATGGTAGTCTCTATTAAGGAGAATTTGGGCACTTGTTAGTGTGTGTGTGTGCCATTGGGTAGAACCATTTAGACCAAAGCTAGAAAATGTAATGTGTTCATCAACTTTAAGAAGACAGAAAAATTCTAGCTCATTGCTTAGTTCTAGCGTAAAATATAAGTCTGGTTGTCAGTTCTCTTTGTCCCGAGGCAGCTTTACCTAATGTGAACTAATACTAGATAGAGCTCTTCTCTGTGAATTTTGTTATCTAATTTAGCAATCCTTGCTTCTGCACTCGGAGATCAAGCCAGGCCCAGATACCCTTGACTCCAGTTCCAAGGGATCTAATGCCCTACTCTGGTGTCCATGTGCAGGTGTACATACCCACACATTCATTCACATACAACATGTACAAGATAGTGTGGGTTTATAATCTAACAGTGTGCATAGAAGAATGAATGAAGTCATTTTTTTTCCCTAGAGAATCAGTCTAGAAAGAATCTCTAGGAATGCTTACTAGATCTGCAAATTCTGCTAGATGCCTTTAATCCTCCTGCCTTAGGGATTAGGAAGACTGCCATGAATTTCGGGGTAGTGTGGGCTACATAGGTGTGATTTCAGCTAAATAGAACAAAAACCCCAAGTTTTTTTTTTTAATTGTATATTATTCTTTTTAGAGATTTTGATTGTTTAGAATGGGACTCAAATATACAGATTCACCAGGCCTGGCGGCTGAAACACACCAGTCACACCTGTCATCTCAGCCTGTTCTGGCTAGTTTTATGTCAACTTGACATAAGCTAGAGTCATCTGAAAGGAGGGAACCTAAATTGAGAAAATGCCTTCATAAGATTGTGATATAGAGCATTTTTAAATTGTGACTGATGGGAGGGACCAGTCCATTATGGGTGCTGCCATCCCTGGACTGGTGGTCCTGTAAGAAAGCAGGCTGAGTAAGCCATGAGAAGCACCCCTCCATGGCCCACGTATCTGCTTCTGCCTCTGAGTTCCTGCCTTGAGTTCCAGTCCTGACTTTGTTTGATGATAACAGTGGTATGGAAATGTAAGCCAAATAAACTGTCCCATCCCCACCTTGCTTTTGGTCATGAGTTTCATCACAGCAATAGAAACCCTGACTAGAACATGGACTTTAGGAGATAGAGGCAGGAAGCTCAGGGTTTCTAAGCCAGTTCTGCGCCAGTTCTGCGCCAGCTCTGGCTCTGCAAGACTACCCGAACAAACTGGAAAGAGAAAGGGATCGGTACATTTTTGACATCCCTATTTTAGGTAAGACTTGATGAATAAATGCTCCAGACACATGCCACAACATTTTTTAAATAAAGCAAATCTAGGTTGATAGAAATTAACTTTAAATTGAAACAGACAAATAGTACTCAAGAATGAGAAATCCAGAAGTGATTGAGCTAGCATGATGATGAACACCTGCAATTCTAGCATTGTGGCTGCTGAGGCCAGAAATGGAGAGTTCTAGGCCAGCCTGGGCTGTGCATGGCATTGCAAGTTCCCGGACAGCCACCCTGTATCAAACACCTCAGCCCTCTCTTCTCCCAAAAGGGGGGGTGGGGGGGCAGTGATTGACACACCTGGCATTAATGTTTGAGAGGACCAGCACATGTTGATTGATTGTTTATTTATTGTTTCTTTTTTGAGACAGGGTTTCTCTGTGTAGCCCTTGCTGTCCTGGAACTCATTCTGTAGGCCATACTGACCTTGCACACAGATATCAGCCTGCCTTTGCTTCCTGAGTGCTGGCATTAAAGAGATGCGCTGCCACACCTAGTGATTCTTTATTTTTAAGGCAAGATTTAAGCAGTTCTAAGTAATAAAAACCAAATCCAGTATGTAGTGAAATCTGATTCATAGCTATAACTTTTAGGAAAAATAAGTTAAAAGCTTCATAGCTGCTGTGTTCAGGAATGACTACAGACTGCCTAGTGGTGTCCTTGTTTTTTATGTGTGCACTTGAGTATTGGAGAGGGTTAATAGAGACTTGTTGGTGCCCATAATTATTTTATTTATTTTCATAGGTGGTTTTCCTGGAGGAATGCCTGGTAATTTTCCTGGAGGAATGCCTGGAATGGGAGGGGCCATGCCAGGAATGGCGGGAATGGCGGGAATGGCTGGAATGCCTGGACTCAATGAAATTCTCAGTGACCCAGAGGTTCTTGCAGCCATGCAGGTAAGATTTGGTGTGAGGGCAGAACACTTCGATATTTTTTTTCTCTTAGTTATCAATTAGGTAATTTTGTAGTATGGCATTTTCTTTCTAAATTGAGATTAATTTTTTTAATGATTTATTTATTTTTAGTTTATGTGTATGAACATTTATTTGTGTGTATATCTGTGCATGACATGCATGCAGTGCCCCGGGAGGTCAGCAGATGGTATCAGATTCCCTGAAACTGGAGTTAAAGCCTTTTGTGTATGCTGGAAACCCACCCTAGCTCCTTCGCAGAAACAGCCATCTCTCTGGCCCCATCTTACTGTTGTATATATGCATGTACTTATATTTACATATATAAATATGTGCAGGTGCCAGTGTATGCTACCATATGCCCTGGAGTTAGAGTTACATGCTGTTGGTTGTGAGCTTTGTGCTCCTGGCATAGGTGCCCAGAAGCATACTCGGGTCCTCTAGAACAGCAAGTGCCCTTACCTGTTGAGTCCCAGTTTAAAGGCCAAATTTTAAAAGTTCATTTTAGGAAATAGTAGTTCATGCTTCTTTGTATCTATGTTATATGTGCTTTCTTTTTTATTATCTTTAGTTCATGTTACAGCATTAAGCTTGATGAGCTGGGGTGTTTCAAAGATAATCCAATCCTGGTGTGTCAAATTTGGCTGAAGCATTTCAAAGTGATTTGTCAGTAGGGTATTTAGTATTCTAAATCCTAAAGTTCATCCATTGGCCACTTTTAAAAAATAAGTTATAAAACCTCGATGAAGCTGAAATTTCAAACCTCTCTTCCCTTTTTTCTTCAGGATCCAGAAGTTATGGTGGCTTTCCAGGATGTGGCCCAGAACCCAGCAAATATGTCAAAATATCAGAGCAACCCAAAGGTTATGAATCTCATCAGTAAATTGTCAGCCAAGTTTGGAGGTCAATCATAATGTCAAAGCCCTTGCTGAATGAAGAACAGCTTAGCTCACTACTGGATGTTGCAATAATACAAACCAGTGTACCTCTGACCTCACCAGGAGAGCTGGGGCACTTCGAAGATAATCCCTACCCTCTGCATCAAATTCAGCTGAGGCATTTTACAGTGGTTTGCCATTAGAGTGTTCATTCAGATAATGTTTTCCTACTAGGAATTACAAACTTAAAACATTTTCAACCTTAAACATATTTTTTAAAAATTTAGGTGATGTCAATTCCTACATTTTTCTTTACTAATCTTTTGGGTTTTTTCTTTGGAATTATTGGGCAAGGAAGATGAATGTGGATGATTTACAGCTTTCATGAATGAAATAAAGATTGTTAGTGGGAAGCAAATAAAACACATTTAAGTTGATTGAGTTGGACATATGGTTACTGAAGCATCTTGATTTTTGTCTCTTTACTGTTTTATTTCAAAATGATCTATTTCAGTAAATCTCTTGGGACCACCAGTATTTGGACCTGACTTTGGTAGGACTGAAGTGTTGGGCAGAGCAGCAGCAGTCCTAGGTTTTGTTGGACCTGTGTAGGCTGCGTTTAAATCTTTAAAACTGCTTTGGTGTTTATTTCTTTTTTTTACAGTGTTATAGGGGAGTCAGATTACGTAGCTCTGCTGTGTCCATTGTTTCAGATCAATGTTCCATAGCATCCCCACATGAGGAAAAGTGCTTTCTGTTCTGTCAGAAATTACCTTTCCTATTAGAAAATGCCCGTCTGCTTGTCATCCTCTGAATCTTCTTGAGCTAACAGTAGTCTTTTCAGTAACATCACTTCTGTCATTCACAGCATAATGGTGGAAGCAGGTTCATTACTAGTTTAGTTTCATATATAATACATACAGCAATTGTAGGCTCGTTTCTCTAATAGCTGGTATTTTACTTGGCCATGAGGTTGCTTGTTTAATAAACTTTTGCCCTTGTGAACTCCTGTCCTATCAAAAGTCATTGGAAGGAAGGATTCCCTCTGGTTTTAGGTATGCGTATGAAATTGAGAAATGATTGAAATATTAGAATTTATGTGTAGTGTACGTCTTTGTACTTGGAAGCGTCTTAAGTTTATATTTGGTGAAAGATTCATTTGTCCCATTTAGCTCTTAAATATTTCGATGTATTTAATGCCTTGTTTTCTCTCCTGCTGCAAAGATAAAGAAAATGATAAATCCACAAAGGGCATATTTAAAGTAGCATATATCTGAAATCATATGTCGATGCAGGTTGTAACTGTGTCATACAGCAGGCACAGGTGCATCTTGTTACATGTAAGAAAAAGCTGTATTTGAACAGAGCATGCGTTATTAACAAAAAGTCCTTAACAAATATTCATCACATATTCTTCAATTGGAACTTTGCACGGTTCTTAGTACAAGTGTGTTCTCCTTTCATACAGTTTCCATGGTGTATGTGTGCTTTACTAAAGATCAATTTCTTTTGTACTCTGACTACACATGACCTAATTATATTCTAATATGGAAATATTACCATAAATGGGTGAAATTGCTCTTCTGAAAACTGTGTCCTGTGCTTTTAGACATCTGAGTTCCACGGATAGCAAAGAGTATAGTCTTCATTTTTTTTTTTTTAATAAAGAATCAGTATAATTTCTACACCAAAAATATTGTTTTTTTTTTTCCACTAAAGATAGGAAAAATAATCTAAGAAGATAAAGGGGCTTTCTGCTTAAAGATACATGGTTAATATTCCTAAATATGCTGAAATAAAATACTGTTTCAAACTGGATATTGACCTTCCCGTATTTGTTATCCCGTTACATTTTTTTTCCCCTTGTGGAAATGTTTAGCTGAAGTTATGTGATGAGTACGGTAGACTGTTGATTACTAAATGTTAACAGAGACCCCTAACGGTGAGTATAGCAGTTCACATTTGTAATTCTAGCACTTGGGAAGATGAGGGAGGATTCTGAGTTTGAGGCCAGTCTGGACTGTACAGCAGGACTCCAAAAAGACTTTCGGTAGCTTAGAAGTTAGCAGTTCTGCCATGTTGAAGTAACATCTTTATGGATCCAGAGAAATTGCTCTGGTGAGTGTTTTACCACCTGAAGAAGCAGGAGGTAGGTAGTCAGGGATATACTGGTCATGTATGGCATGAAACTATTGGGTAAGAAAAGGTGTGGTGAGCCAACCAGCTGTCACACATCGGGAAGTGGCTTCATAAAGGAGTGATGGCTTCTGTTTTTAATGGACCTGAATTAAACACATCATACTAGGTATGGTTCCAGGCACTGTTGTAATTAGTTCCTCCAGGAATCTCTGAATTGTTATACCACAATGTGAGTACATTTATTGCTTTGCCTTATTTTATAGGTGAAGAAACTGAAGCACTTTGGTAGTTGCTCAGTGTAACATTTGTGGAACTAGGATTTTTACAGACCCAGGCTTGTGACTTCACAGTTCTTTGTGAATCCTTTAATGTGATTACAGAAGCTTTGCACATGCACCCTTTTTGAGTGGGTGGGGAAGACAAGATTTCACAATGTATCTATCTGACTGGCTTGAAACTGAAATTCATTGAGTAGACCAGGCTGCCCACAAAGCCTCTGCCTTCTCAGGTGTCGGGATCAAAGGCATGCACCATCATGCCTGGCAATAACAAACTTCAGGTTGCTGGTTTTTGTTTTGTTGACTTGGGTTTTGCTATGTCATGCAGGCTGGCTTAAATTCCCATCTTTCTGCTTCAGCCCTCTAACTAGTAGTATTAGATAATAGTTGTGTCAGCATGCCTGCCTGCTGCTGTAAGAAATTGAAAGCCAAAGTACACATTTGAATGATAGTGGTTAAAGAATACCAGGTGTGTGCTGCCAGAATCTCCACGGCTTTCTCTGAAAAGTAAAGGACAGCCTAATTGAAGTTTGTAGTCCATTAAATTTAAGGTATAGTAGTTACAACGAGTATGCAACTAATAAAACCATAGTTGGGGCTGGGAGATGGTTCGGTAGTTAAGAGCGCTACAAGAGCACGTAGTGCTGAGGACTGGTAGTCAGTTCCCAAGCACCCACCCGTGTTTGGCAGACCATGCGTGTAACTCCAGCTCCAGGTGATAGTAGCTCTCCCAGCTTCCGAAAGCAGTGCACTAATACGCAGACACATATACTTTTAAAAATAAGAGGATTGAAGAGGAAAGCAAATATAGCAATATCAGGTTTTGAAAGTTTGAACAATTCTGTGAAACTTCATAATGTGTGTACTGGCTGGTTTTGTGTGTCAACTTGACACAAATTGGAGTTATCACAGAGAAAGCCTCCCTTGAGGAAATGTCTCCATAAGATCCAGCTGTAAGGCACTTTCTCAATTAGTGATCAATGGTGGGAGGGCCCATTGTGGGTGGTGCCATCTCTGGGTTAATAATCTTGGGTTCTGTAAGAAAGCAAGCTGAGCAAGCCATTAAGTAGCATCCCTGGCCTCTGCATCAGCTCCAGCCTGCTTCTTGACTGTTCCAATCCTGACTTGCTTTGGTGAACAGCCATGTGGAAGTGTAAGCTGAATAAAACCCTTTTGTCCCCAACTTCTTGGTCATTTTGTGCAGAAATAGAAACCCTAAGACATTATCAGAGTGGGAGGGTAAAATACTGACTTTGCTTTTAGATTTACTTTATGGTGCATGAGTGCTTGCATTTATGTAAGCGGTCCTGAATTCCCCAGAGGATAGAAAGCTGTGGGTAGGTCCCCTGGAACATAGAGGTTTGTGTGATAGCAACCGAACACATCCTCTGCAAGGACAGCAAGCATTCTTAGCTGCTGAGTCATCCACACAGCGCCAAATTGTCAGTTTAAACAAATCTAACCCTGCCAACAAACCATGCTAGAGCTTTGACTCCTAGGCTTCAGTGCCTTGAATCTATATCTCACAGCAGGGATGGGGATGGGATGTTGGGATGGCTGAACGGAGAAACAAAGGTTGGAGACATTGACCCACTCCTTATCTATATCAGCTTATATTGGAAGGTTGCTTTTGTTTTGAGGTGGTTTCTGTTCTGGCTAACCAACTCCACTGGGATTACAGGCTATGTTTTCGGGTTTAGGCAGTCCTCTGTTTTGGTTTTTGTTTTATTTTGAGTCAGGTCTCACAGCCCAGGGTAATCTCCAGCTCTCTATGTAGCCGAGGGTGACTGAACTAATGATTTCTTTTAACAAAATATTTAGTCGTATGTGTGTGACTCAGTGAGTGTGTGCAGAAACCCGCAGAGGTCAGGTCCCCTGGAACTATAGTTGCTTGTCAGGATGTGGATACTAGGACTTAAACGCGGTTCCTCTTCAAGAGGAGTACTTGTTCTTAACTGAGCCAACTCTTCAGTCCCCTGAACCCTCTTTCCACTTCCTGAGTGCTGTGGTTACTGCTGTATCTGGTTTGCTGGTAATCATGCCTAGCAAGCACTCTTACAACTGAGCCTGCCAACATGTATTTTGCAAAGAATTGGGGTGCAGGAGTCATTAAGGACTTCTATGCCCTCCCGTTTCATGGGCATGACTAACCAAGTCAGTGTGGAAACACAGTCAGACTGAGGGGCTAGGAACCTGCGCAGGCAGGCGGTGCTCTGAACACAGATCCTTTCTAGTCAGTTTAGCATTGTCCCGCCCCTTGATCGATCTGGGCCAATCAGTGTTCAGGGACGTTTCTGGGTACTTCACACTCACCTCCCCGACTGCTCTCCCCAGCGAACGAGGGCAGTCTGTGACCCGGAAGTAGTCGTTCTGGTGGAGGCGGGCCAGACTTCTGAGAGGTGGGGCTTGAGACGGTCCTTTCAGGAACCCACACACTCTGAGGCGTCTGAGTGAAAAGTGTAGCACCATGGCCTCTGTGTTGTCCTACGAAAGTCTGGTACACGCCGTGGCCGGAGCCGTGGTGAGGAGGGGTTTGGGGCTTCGAAAATCTCGGGATGGGTCGGGAAGATGGGCACGAGGGAGATGTGGGGGCTGAGTCTATCACAACTGGGACAAAAAGGACGGGCATAAACAGAAAATTGCAGCTACAAGAGGGAGAGCGAGGCCAGGATCCACCCTCTGCCTCAGTCCCTCCCCTCTTGGGCTTTCCCAGAGACTGTCTGGACTAGCACTCACAAATGTCCAGAGGGAAGAAGAAAGAAGATAATTGCTATTTTCTTTGCCTTATGAAGTTTAAAAGTTTAAGGTCAACCATTCCCTTACCCAACTCTTACGGCACACAAACTTCGTCTAAATTGGTCTGGTGGAGAAACTAAGTGTGAAGATGAGGTGCTTGATGTAAGCCTACAGACAACCTGTTGTCACACCTTATCACAGACAAGTGCCAATAGCTAATAGAATATTTCTAGTCAGCATTATTGCCAGGAAAGGATAGGGTGTTTTTTGTTTGTTTGTTTGTTTGTTTGTTTGCTTGCTTGTTTTTTAAGTCAAGGTCGGTGTTGTTATCACCTCCATGTGATTTCTGTGAGTTAAGCGCCTTGCTCTTGGATTAAGAGGTGTCTAAGTTCCTTCCATTTGACAAGTCCCTTTTCTCTGAAACTTTACATTCTTGGCACAAATAACATTCCTCTTCTGGTTTTCTTCCTCAAACTGTTTCCCATTTTCTTCCCTAACTTCCAACATGTACCTTTAGCCACATAGAATCACTGTGGACCATTCCTGTCCATTAGGTGAGCCATTACTGAATGCTATTCCTAGCCCAATATTAATTCAGGGCCAGCTCACATTCTGGTGAAGAATAATCTGCATTTTTGAATTCCAATTCTATCATTTGTTTACTAGGTAATCTCAAATCTCACATTTGTAATCTGTGAAGAGGGAAGAAATATTACACTTTTCTCCTAGACCTTGAGAATTAGGTGAGGCAATAGTACTCGGTCTTATTCAAGGAGCCAAATTCGTTTAAATCAACCAGAAGTGCCTTTTGCTCATTATGCAAGAACTGGGGTGGAAGTTTGCTGTGACATGTTTTCAGTTGGTCACAGAGACCTATTTGACTGGAGTGGAAATGTAAATGGAGACCAAATTATTCCTGACTTTGTGTAGAAGAGAGGTGGTGGTTGAATTTACTGATTGACATTTCAAACCTGATCCTCCTGGCTGCTCTATGGAGAGTAGAGTATGGAGGGCACATCTCTCTCAGGCAAGGAGGCCTAGGTAAGGTGGTGAAGTGGTAAGGGAGCAGTTGTCTGGAATGGACTTATAAGAACCATAGCTTGGGTATCGCTTAGGGTTGCTTGTGTCCAACAAATATTTGACGAACTGACAGTAGTGGTGAAGACACAGGTTTGGGGGCAAAGATAAAAAAAACAGCATGAGATTAAATGATTAACTCACCAAGGAAGTGTGTGTTGGGGGCTGGGGGTGGGTTAACTTCGACCAGCTACCAAGTGGAAAAGCTGCTGACATTAAAAGGTGGGGAGAGGGAGCCCGCTGCAGAGAAAGACCTGAAACCCAGTGTGGAGTGGGAGGAAAAGGCTCTGCCAGCTGTTGGAAGGAAGTATGTCAGGGAGAGGGTGTTGTCCAAGTGTGTCATCAACTGTGAGAGGTCAAATAAGGTGAGGACCTAGAACTAAATATTGGGTTTATCAAAATGATACGTCCAGTGGTTAATTAAGAAGACCAGTTTGGTGGGTTGGTGGGCAAAGTGGAGCGAGACAGAGCATAGGAAGATGGAAATTTTTGTTACCTTTTCTTTCTCTTATCAGATGTCATTGGTTGAGTTCATTCTGTGGGCCGTGAGCTCTTCTAGGTTTGAAGAACATAGTGGAGAACAGTCATTTTCTTCATTAATTGTTGGTTCTAGTGGAAAGGTCAGACAGTATACGAGTAAACAAAATGATTTTAAATAGTAAATGCTAAACAAATAGGGCCAGCAAGCACTTTTCTAGTGAGATGACATAATTTATGAATTATGTATGACCATGGTGGTGGGAAAGCACATAGACCATAAGTAAACAAATGGGCTGAGCTCTGTTTCCCATAAAACATTGTCATGGGAACAGGCAGTACATTGGCTTTGGCCTATGGACCAGGTTTCTGAGCCCTGTGGTAAAGCATGATTATGGGCAGGGTGATATCTATCTATTAATAAGCAAAAAAATTTTTTCATTGATTTTTTTTTTTTTGCCTGTTTTTCTTTTGTTAAAGTTTCACTTGAAATTACGCATCCTGATTTTGCCATTTAATCCTAAATTATCTATTATATGCTTTTATAAGAATAATTCATTGTCAGATAATTCTTGTCAGAGAGTAGTATTTCTAGCACATATATGAGTGAGAAGTAGTTTTGTTCGTTGTTTTAGTTTGAGTTATTTGAAATAGGGTCTCACTGTGTAGCCCAAGATAGGCTCAACCTTGTAATCTTTTAGCCTCAGCCTCCTAAATCCTAGGCATTATAGGCATGTATTATCATATCCAGCTGCTTCATGGTGTGTGTGTGTGTGTGTGTGTGTGTGTGTGTGTGTGTGGTGTGTAGCCTAGGCTTGAACTGAACTTGTGATCCTCCTACCTCTTTCTGCTCCCTGGTCATGCCTTGTTGTTGTTGTTGCTGTGGTTCCTCTTCTTCCTCCTCTTCTTCCTCTTCCTCCTCCTCTTCTTCTTCCTCCTCTTGTTTTTCCTATTCTTCCTCCTCTTTCTCTTCCTCTTCTTCTTCTTCTTCTTCCTCCTCCTCCTTCTCCTTCTCTTCCTTCTCTTTTTCCTCCTTTTCTTCTTCTTCCTCCTCCTCCTCTTCTTCCTCTTCTTCTTCCTCCTCTTCCTCCTCCTCCTTCTCCTCTTCCTCCTCTTCTTCCTCTTCTTCTTCCTCCTCCTCCTTCTTCTCCTTCTCCTCTTCCTTCTCTTTTTCCTCCTCTTCTTCCTCCTCCTCCTTCTTCTCCATCATCACCACTATTACTATTAAACTGCCGTGCCAAAGAGTTGTTTTCAAACTCTTAGCAGGTTTCTATATTAAGGTTAAATAACACTAAGGCTTCAAGCACTCTATATAACTACTTTACTGTAGATAAATTACAGATAAACTTAAATTTCTCAAAACAAGAATTACCTTGCTTCAGAAAGATGCTGTTAGTTCACTGGCTTCATATGTAAAGAATCATTTAAAAAGTATACTTAGATTTATGATTTTATATTTTGATTATCGTCAGCTTATCATTGAAATATTTCATAAATAAAAATGTCTTGCCCAGGCTGGCTTTGACCTGCTGTGTGACCAAGGATGACCTTGAACTTCTGATCCTCCCATTTCCTAAGTTTGAGATAGAACATTAGGTTTTTACTGGTGCTAGGATAAAATACAGGCTTCTAAATGTTCTTGGTAAACTCTACCAGATTAGTTAGCTGTATCCCTAGCTCAGAAATACCGATTTGCAAGTAAAAGATTTCCTTAGTCTACAATTTACAAAATGCTATATATAAGATTTACATAGGATAGATTACACACTGAAACAGGGTTCAAACCATAATGAATAATCGGTAACATCAAATTTTTTATATATTAGTCTGTTTGTTAAGATGCGTTTGGACATGAGAGGACAACTTGTAGGGCTCTGTCTCCTTTCACCACAAGGTTCCAGGAATCAAACTCAGGTCTTCAGTCTGTGGGCAAGAGCTTTTACTTCTGCTGCCTCATCTTTCTGGCCTGACTGATCAGCAATTTCAAGGAACTTCTTTTGAACCAATTGCTTATTTAAATCATCTTAGTTTTTTTTTTTTTCACCTCTATATATCTAGCAGGGCAGTCTCTGTCTATTGGTTAGGCTGGCCTTGAACTTCTGGGTTCAAGGCACCCTTGTGCATTCTTGAGTAACTGAGATTGTCAGAGAGTCTCCAGAATCATGAAAAGTTTGGGTTACAGTTGGTCAGGTAGAATGCTTGTCGAAATGGGGTACATCTTTGGTCTCTGTACTGTCTGTTTATATACAGATGAGTGTGCATAGATTTGTTGTTGTTGTTGTTTATGTAACTGTTATTAGAGTTTTACATACTGGCTTTTAGATTTGCTTGTTATGAGTGTTCATTTTGGATAAAGAATATTCCATGTGAAGCAATTAGTGCTTCCTGGTTGCAGAGTGGAAAAACAGACTGGGCATTTTAAGCAAGTTGGATTTTTTTAAAAGGCTGTTTGAGACCTGCTCTTGTCAGTGGGGAAATGGAAAAAAATATTAGTAGAAAGATTTCTGAAATAGTCACTGAAGCCTCTTGCAGACGCTACCACTGAAATGAGAGGTTTTTGTTCTGACCTTCTGCCCTTACTGAATTCCGATTAAGACTCATACTGCTGGCTGGGTGTGTGTGTGTGTGTGTGTGTGTGTGTGTGTGTGTGATGGCTCATGCCTTTTAAACCCATTGAGGACAGCTTAGTATACAGAGTAAGTTCCAGGACAGCCAAAACTACAGAGAAACTCCGTCTTGGAAAACCCAAACAGATAAGCGAGTGACTCAAATTCCTGTAGAGTCCCTTCTAACAGAACTTAACATCCTTTGCCCAAGCAACCCTTGACGCACCACTTACACACCTGTAATTAGCAGGTGTGAAAGGAAGGCTTGGGCAGGACCCCTTAGAAGCCTCTTCAGGAGCTGCAGTTGAGGGTGGCATTTGGATTTTCTGTCCTGCCAAGATTGTACACAATAGGACAAGATAATTCTTCAAAAGATAATTAGAGGCTGGAGATACGACTCCACAGTTAAGCTGAGCTATGGCTGGTCTTGTAGAGAAAACAGGTGCAATGCCTAATACCCACATGATGTCTTACAGCCATCTTTTAATTCTAGTCCAATAGTATCCAATGCCCTCTTCTGGCCTCCCTAGGAACTGCATGCATGTGGTACACAGACATACATCCAGGCAGATAAGCATATACATAAAATAAGGAAAGAAATTCAGCAAAAGAGAGTGATGCTGTG